ACCAAAATTGACCCATGAAGCCGTTGCTAAACCAAACAGAGCTCTAAACGTTAAAGCAATGAAATCATTGGTCAAAAATCTACCTATATATAAAAAACATTAAATTCACACAGTTTTATGTAGGTTAGTTTATCCAACCATATAAGAAAACAAACAATTTTATATAAAGTTCTGTATAAAGCCTTATGTATTTCTTAGGGTTTCAAGGTAACTCAAATTCTGTAAGAAATCCCAGTCTCAAAAACCCAAATGCTTAATGTTTTCTCTGATATAAGGCTAATTCATAGTGGGATAGGGAGAGGGAGCATGGGAGGAATAGACGAACTCTAGATAGGACAGAGGGGTTGGAGGGGAAGGGAGGAGGCATGGGGTTAGAAATGATGGTGGAATGTGAGGATCATTATTATCCAAAGTACATGTATGAAGACATGAATTGGTGTGAATATACTTTGTATACAACCAGAGATATGAAAATTTGTGCTCTGTATGTGTAATAAGGAAAAATAAAAATAAAAATAAAATCAGAGTTGCCATAAAAAAAAGAAATCAAACATCCTAACAATGATAAATATGACTCTCCTTGTTCAAGTTGATACAGAGTACCATTTTCAACTGGCAAACAGTTATCTGTTATTATTTTAAAAGGCGCAAAAACACCTGGGTAGTAGAGCATAGTGACAATATTCTAGAACACACCTGCTTTGGTCTTCAGAAAAAAAACATGAGAGAGCTTCTCAAGTCTTCACACAGGGCACACAAAACGTATGTCCCATTCCCATGAGAGTAGATGGAAGTTTCCAGAAAGAAGGGAATCAAAACTCTTAGTTTGACATGCCACAAGGAATACCTGACATTAAAAGTGTGTTCAACACCAGATGTCACTGAAATAATAGGTGAAGATCAGGAGATTCATGGCCAGCCACACACTTCAGGTAAACCAACAGCACAAAGAAACAGACCAATTGCAAGGATGGGTAATCACAGAGATAAAAATCTCTGTAATTTAGGCAGACACGTAACTCTCAAGTTTTATATTTCAGATTCAGGACAGCCTGGAGCCCAGAGGACACATCTTCTTTGGGTCAAATTGCTTTCTGCCATTCCCTTAAAATGATAAGAATTCAAGTTATTCAACTCTAAGACAACGGAATGGGAGGCAGTGGAAGATTCTGCAGTCTTACCTCAAGAATAGGGGCAAAGGAAACGAAAAGGCCCCGGGAGACCCTCAGGACTTAGGAAAGAGTTCATGAAGAAGCTGGGGGGCAGGGAAGAAGGGAGCTTTGTTCCTTTAAAGAGTAGGGGACCCAGAGTTTCCGTTCGCTCAGGTGAGCACAAGCCCCACTGACCCAATTCATGAGCCAAGAAATCAGAGCCCATGATCCTGAACCACACCAGGAACTTTTCCTTTTATTCATTCCTTGGCCACCTATCATTCCAAGCTGTAGAACTCCATCCCTGCATCGAGGGTTGACCAGGCAAAGTGTATTTATAACTACAAAAAAAAAAAATCAAGGGTTGCTCAAAACATAAATATTCAAAGCGAAAGAATAATAAAAGTTCACGTGTGTGAGGACTTAAGGGAAAAAAAAACAAACTAGGAAATGTTTCTTGCCAAAACGTTTAAAGCTTCTCCAAAGTGTACTAAATTTACTATGTTCTTTTGTTTTTTTAGACTTCTTCACATACACATGCATACCATCATCATTATCATCACCATCAGACTTTTAGGAAATTTTATAATTATAAAACTACTATTTTTTATCCAAATAATTAGGAGGCTGATTTTTCTCTGATAATTAGGTAAAACAATGAGCAGCTAAATGGAATCATTCAATGCTCCTCCAAATTAGAGTTTTCTCAGTCCTAACCATAATATTTCTAACATTATAATGTGCTGCAATTTAGAAAATTCACCATTGGGGATTATTTAAGCCTCCTACTAATGCTAAGAGGAGTTTCCACTAGAATAATCACTAGTAATGTCTCTCCACATTCTCTGGGGCAGGCAAGCTCAGGTACTCTGGGTAAATGGCATGAAGTGTCCCAAATAAAATCATAGCACTCTGCAAGAGTGTTACCTTTGTAGAGTCACGTTCCCTACCTAGCCCAATTCACCCTCCTTCCCAAATAGGAACAATTTAGGATACATAAGTTACCCACCCCCAAATAATAGCTTTTCCAACACATAAGTGAGAACAGAATTTCAATGACTTGGTGACTATTCAATGGGTCATAAAAGTACTGGGACAGTGTTGCCCAAAGTCAAAGTTCAGGGCTCAGGGGCAGGAGCAAGGGTTGGAACTTTTGGAGCATTCATTCCTCTAGGTACACAGTTGAAGAAGCAGGAGAGGGCTGAGCTGCGGAAAGCAAAAACAGCACAAGATTCAGTACCAGTTTTTTGTATTCCAAAACTCTGTTTGCTCATCCCGAGAACCATACCCTTCACCTCACCCATCACATACTGCACTTGGCAGCTCAGACTCCTCTCTGGACAGAAGATGTGAATATTCTTGTTGTATCTCTTCATTGCTCCAGGTGCAAAGATAAAATAGTGCAGAACTGGGTGAATGGCAGGTGGATCTGGAGGATGCAAGTGGGATATGTAATGATTTCCACAGTGAAATGCAATACAGGATGGAGGAACTGTGCCAGGTAGAAAAGAATTGGGCCAGGAAAGAGAAACACATGCAGGCTAAGAAACTGCCCATGGGCAGATAGATACACCTGCAGACTTTTAACATAAGCAAGCAGGAATGACTTTTAACAGAATACCACACAATGAAAGTGATGAGGTCAAATAAGATGAACAGAACACCACGAAAAGACATCAAGTGCATCACTCCCAGAGTAAGGACACTTGAAAAAGGCTGAAACTAAGTCAGATGGAGAGAAATACTGGAGGCAGCCCAGGACAGTGGAAAAGGAACTAAAGTGCCAGAAACAGCACAATTAATACTGCTGCTCTCACGGGTCTACCATCACACTTGCCATTAAGGGTGAGGGCACTGATGCAGGGCTACTACATGCCCCAGCACTGTTCTGACAGTGCTCTGCATATCCATTCTCAATCCTCACAACGTAACAAGTCTCCAGGGCACACACAAAGATGAGGCATCAGACTGACCTGGCTGAAATTCTGGCTCCCCCCAACCCCCCACCACACAAACCTCAAATAAACCTCCCCACGTCTCAGATTCCTACTCTACAAAACAGGCTCATCATACCAACCCAGCATAGAGGCCGTGAAAATTAGAGATAATGAACTTAAGTACCTACTAGCTGCTGTTATTAGTGTAATTAATCCGATTAAAATAATCAGGAGTGAAGAACAGAGGAAGGAGGTTGGAGTAGAAAAGGCAACAGAAAAAGCAGTAATGGACAGGGACCACAAAGAACCTGCCAGGGATGGAGCTGCTAGACTCAGGCTGAAGGTGAAGAGAACTCTGCACCCAGCTCCTGACTTGGCATGCCCCTGGGTGTAAAGTCTCTGAGCCTCAGTTTGCACCTGTATAAAGTGAGAGCGTCAGTACCAGGATTCCCTACAGGGCAGGGATGTTATAAGACTCATATGAAGAGATGGCATCTGATTTTACTATTAGAGGCCATGAGTTTATGCATCTGATGGATAGATGGGGAAGTCCATTTCCTTTACATTGTTGCTCAGGAGGAATGAAAACACTCAACAAGCAGAATCATGCCAAAGCCAAGCAATTAGAGACTGCAAAGTCATTAACTATTATGTGGCTTCTTTGGTCACCATGAATCTAATTAATTTAATCTGACATGGAAGATGTGCTTTATCTTTACCTCCCACAACTTCCAGCCTCTTACAAATCATCCCTTCCGCCTGCCTTGAGGTCCTCTTCAATTTATGCCTTTGTTCATTCTGGTCTGGAATGTTGTTCCCCGTCATCTCCAATTGACCAGTCCCTGGTCATCCTTGAAAACCCAGTTTGCATGCTTCCTTTCCCAAGAAAGTGACCCCAGACACTCTATATTGCCCTATTATATTTTATGAATTTCTCACCCTACTAGCACTTCCCTGTGTGATATAACCACTGGCGTATATGCCTCTCTCCGCTAATTAATAAATTTCCTGGGGGTGACAGGTAATGTGTTCTTTCATCCTTTATGGAAAACTGCCTCACCCCACAAGGAGAACAGATAATGTACAAAATCTTTTGACCTTGTATCTTTTTCAAATCATTACAATAGTAGTTAATATACTTTAAGGGCTTTACAAGAGCCTTTAAAATGTAGAGGGAAAATGAAAGAGAGCACCACGAATATAATGTAAAAGATTACCGGTGGGAAGGGTGAAGATGAGAAAACACATCCTAGGTGTTCTCTTTTACGAATAGGAGTTAAAGATGACGTGCAAAGTTAGTTATTTTTAAATATGTGCCTCTCACCTCATTGGCCTCAGTCATTCTAAAGGAAATGTTTCCTAGAGAGTGACAGTCTCAGCTCAAAAAAAAAAAAAAAGGAAGGAGCCAGGGCACTCATGTCCATGCTGCAGGTCCCCTTCCCTGTTCTTCATTAGTCAGGGCCACGGCAGGGTCTGTGTCACTGCCAAGGGTCTGTGTCACTGCCAATGCCCTCTCTCCTCCAGCATCCAGGGCTTTAATGATTTTAGCCTTGGTGCTCACTTGCACCTGTCTCCTGTAGGTACGACTGATATGCTTCAGCCTACCCACTTCCTCCCTCAACAAACAGGTCTCACTTTGGCAAAGAGCTGTCAAACTTGACGTTCAAAACAGGATCAAACAGCAAATCGCTAAATTTGTATGGGCCATTTCAAGGCCAATGGCCACTTAGGAACCAAAGCATGAAACTATTCTTCTCAAAGACTTTTTCAATGGGCAGAAGTTGCTCTATGAGTCGCCTCTGTTCAAGAGCAGATGGCCAGGACTAGGAGGTCAACTCACCTATTAGGTCACCCACCAGGCGTCTGCGTCGCAGTCGTCCCCGCCCCCACCCTGCAGGTCCAGCTCGCTTACCGATCTTGGCCAGGGAGGCCAGCAGGATCCACAGGGTGATCTCGAAGGGGATTTGCACGTGGGGGTAATCCAGAGTGAACACCGGCAGACGACTTTCCTCAAATGGCGTGGTTCCCGGAGCCACCACGCTCGCCGGGCTAGGCGGGCTGGAACTGGTGCCCCTGGCCTTCGGAGAGTCTAGGAGGGTCTCTGCCAGGGTGCCCGCGGGCCCCGCCACCTGCAGGAGCAGCAGCAGCAGAAGCCCAGGCGGCGGCGCCAGCAGGCTCCGCCTGGTGCCTGCTGGTTCCATGGGGTCGGCTCTGGGTGCAGCGGGGGAGCCGGGCGCTCAGTCCTCTGCGCGCTCAGCGCATCGCGCCAGGACAGCGCCGACAGCTCAGTCCCGCGTAGAGCGGGACAGCTAGAGCTTTCCACCGCCGCCGCGGGGCCGGGTCTCTGCAGCCAGCGGGCTTGGTCCCCGTGGCGAACAGGCTCACTGAAAGGGAGCGCACGGCGAAGGAGGTCACCGCGCGGACCCTTGGCCGCACTCAGCCGCCCTCCGCCGACAGCCGCCCGCCCATGCCCGGTCCGCGGCTCACGGGCCCCAGCTGCAGGCCCTGCCCCGGGCGGCCCGCGGGCGGGGACGAGGGCGGGGCGGGCGCTGCGCCCAGGCCGCGGGGCGGGAGGACTCGAGGACACAGCCGGTGCACTGCGCACCTGCTGGAGCCTGCGGGCGACACGAGGCCCTGGTGGCCGCGGGGGCGACGACTGTGCTCCTTTCTTGTCGGTCCCGTATGCCAAGACTTGCCACCCCCGGGGCCGGTGAGCTGTGGGTGGAATCGCCCCGCTGCGCGCAGGGTGGCCGGAGCTGTCCCCGCCCCGGAGGCCGCCTCTGGCGTCCAGCCAGTGAAGGGACCTACGCTACCCACGCGACGCACTCTTGTTCCCAGTCCTGCAAGGAGACACCCGGGTGCGCTGGGCACGGGAGAAGAGTCCGCAGGCTTAGGGTAGGGAGGAGAAACCCAGCTCTGGAGGAAGAGGGGGTGCTGTCACCCCGGCCCGGGTGCTGCGGAGGCCGAGACCAGCAAGGAGCTCACTTTCGCTGTATAGAAAGTTTAGAAAAGCCTCACTTTATTCCCCTTTGGAGAGTTTGCAAATCGAATACAAGGCATTCTCTCTGTGCACTGAAACTCCCTGTGCAGAACGCAGTGTTCCCACGCTCCCACAGAATCCTTTTCTTTCCTACCTTGTACTGGTTTCGCTCATGGTAACACTGTGGATTCCACTACTCTTCTCCCTCCCCCAGCTCATGAAAAAGAAAAAAAGAAAAACCATCTTTCTCTGTTTTTAGGCTTAGAGGTGAACATGTCTGAGAGCATCAGAAATATAATTATTTCATGGAAAACCAGTGATTTGCCTAGCTCAGATTGACTGGCTCCGCTAATTACAGGACCGGCTGTGGTTTGGAAAGGGAAGGAAAAGGGAGCGCGATTCTCCCAGATCTAAAAGAGCTTTATCTTCCAGCCAACCTTTCTCCTCCTCCTTCGGGTGTTTTATGCTTCGCTGGTTGCAATCTTACTCTTCAGGCATCTTTATCACCAGAAATTGAAACAAACAAGAAAAAGGAGAGCAGCGGCCACTCACATTCACTGAAACAATTTCCCCTTGGATATTTGTGATATAAAAATCCTTCTCCTTTCTCATCTTTTTTTTTTAAATGTAGAAACATGTGGCTCTGACTATTAAACAAACACCAGGCAGCTCAACATTCAAAGCAGATTTTTTCCCCCTAGCTCTAACCATTTGTGAGATGTCAGCAAAAGGTACAAGAAATAAATCCACCAGCTGAACAGAAGCAGGTAAGCAACAGTCACCTTTGAGCCCTAAAAGGAAGGTGCCGACAAGTCCAGGGTAAGAAGGGAGAATGATTCTCAGAGATGATGTGGAATAGTTTAGTTAATATATTATAAAGTATCTATTTTTCAAATGGGAAACAAATTTGAATCCAAAGATATTTCTATTTTCCTAAAAAGAATCACTGAGTCATTGAAAACTCAGTTTCCCCTTCTATTTTCATTGAGTTTTCTTAAAAGTCTGTGCCTAACATACCCTTGTGAGAAAGATGCTTGCAAATAAGAACTTGTTTTGATTGTTATTTCTGATTGGAAAGCTCTGAGCCAAGTTTTATATACGGTAAGTATAAATATGCTTATGTGTATATACATGTATATATTCATCATAAAAAGCTAAAGAAACAGTATCCATATAAGTAGAGAAATATAGAAGCATAAATGTTTCAAAACAAACAACCAAGTTTGCAGATTAAATAAGGTTCTGGAAGGAATTCACACCCAGGCCTGCCCTTGTAAAGCTGGATTTCTATGCCCCTTCACCTCATTACTAGATGCCCATAAACCTCCGGGTATTTTTTAAATAGAAAAAAAAAAAAAGAAAAGTAGTTTAGGGATTGTTCAAAAATGTCATAGCAGAATATGGTTTTACTTCTGGTAATCAAATCAGGCCAGTTTTACAAGCATAGTGAAATAATAATCCTTTAAACATTAATGTCTAGGAGTCACAGAATGCTTTTAAGAATGATTGTGCATCATAAACAAGATGAGTGACAAATCAACCTTTCTGGAAGCTTAGTGCCCATCGTCACTTTAGAGATTACAGACTTGGAATCACTTTATAGATCTAGGCTACTACAGGTAAAGGTTATCTACTTTTTAAAAAAAAAATTTGGAAAAATTACTCCTCTATTTGTTTTTGTGAATGGATGACAAAGGATTGAGTTTAATAAATAATCTTTTCATTTTTCTTCTAGATTAAAGCAAATAAGACTTAAATCATGCCCCTGTTATGGCTGGACCTTTAATGTCCATTGGGAGGTGGTGGAAACAGGGGTGGGGGAGGTGTCTAATGGAAGGAAGTTAGGTCATGGGGGTATGCCTTGAAAGGGACACTGGGACTCCACCCCACACCCCGGCCCCTTTCTCTCTCACTTCCCAGCTGCCATGAAAGAGTAGTTTCCTCTGCCATATGTTCCCTTCATGATGTTCTGCCTCACCATATTCTCAAAAGCAATAGGGTCAAATGACCAACCATGGACTAAAACTGTGGACCAAAATAGATCTTTCCTCCTTCTTAGAGGTTGATCTCAAGTATTTTGTCACAGTGATGGTAAGCTCACAAGTAGCCCCTCTGCTAACGTTGACTAGATCAGGCCATTTCTTAAATGGCTCTATGAGTAAGAGTTTAGCCCCTGAAATGATAACACACCCCATTACTGTACACAGGGAATGACCCAAGGCGAGGATCAAATAACATCTCTATCAACTTATAATCCTTTAGTGCCATCTGGAAAGACCTGAAACCCTATAACGATTTACCTGATTTGACCTCTCTCTTTCCCTCTTATCTCTTTCCCTCCCTTCCCTACTCCCATCCTTTATGAACCCTGGGCAATGTTCCAGGTTTCCTCTTACCTCAGGGCCTTTATACATCCTGTCCCCTGTGCAGGGGAACCTTTTCTCATTATTGCCCTTTACTTTGGTCACTCCCCTTGGAGTTTCAGCTCAAAGGAGGTCCAGGAAGTCTTATGGCATCTGACTTTCTGAACTAGAGTCGACTTCAATGCTGTAGATATCTCTTGTAATTTCTTCTTCTTCTTTTTTCTCTCTGTGCTTAATCATTTTACTTTTCTCCCATGAAAATCCCCATGAAAGTGATAACAGACCATTGGTCTACTTGATTCACGTTTTTATTCTTAAATTCTAGCGGAGTGGCTGGAACATGACAAATACCCACTAGATATGTGTTGGATGGATAAAATATGACTTGACCAGAACTCAGCAGCTCACATGCCTTAGGCATCTGGACTCCTGGCCTTTTATTTGGTTGGGTCAGTTGCAGGATAGACATGAACCCTCTCTAATTTCACATTAAATGTTTCTGTCCAGTGATCCCTGGTTCCTATTTCAAGGATTCACATCTCTATCTTTTCATCCCCTACCACTTAAATGATGTGAGAATCCAACTGAATATTTCTAAATATTTACAGAAAAAAATTTACCTGATTTGAGGTTGACTGTTAATTAGCATAGAAGGATTTACTAGGAACTTATGAATCTTGATGGAAGCTTGTGAATGTTTTGTGTGCTTTTGATCTACAATAGTATATTCAAATATTAGTGTGTTTGGTGGCATTCCTTAATGGGAATAGCTCCTGAATCTTATAAATCATCACACAGGACAGTATCCCCGGCATCGTGAAGAATCACAAAAGATTTTGGAGTTATTTCTGAAGGCCAGGGAAAGAAACTAAGAAAATAAAGCTGAGTTAGTATAAGAGGACATACACCTTAAAAGTGAAAATGTGAGCTATGCAGAGAAAATTAGAACCACCACCTAACACAAGACTGGTCTTAAATTCCCTCCTTCTGCACTGGAAACTCCCAGAGAACTCCATGTTTAACTGGGTCTGTTGCTGCACAGAACCTGGAGATTGGGGAATAACTGCATGGAGACACCCCATGCAGGCAGAGGACTCTGCACCCTAGCAAACAGATTCTTTTGCAACAATTCCAGAAGATTGGTTGTGTTATCCCTGTTTCTCAGGTGAAGAGTGGAGGCTGACAGAGAGAACTTGAAAGGCTAGTGAATGGCAGTGGCTCCTCTAAGCCACACTGGGGCGCCAGCACTCTCTCCAGGAGGTAGCACCTCCCTGGCTCCTGGTGCAGGAGGAGCGCAGGAGTGCTTGATTGGTAGACAGGGACACCGAGCACGGCTCCATTCTTAAAGACGACAGTTTCCACGTCCATTGTCCAAAATACTTGGAACCAGAAGTGTTTTGGATTTGGAGTTTGATGTCAGATTTGGTGATATTTGCACGAACATAATGAGGTATCTTCAGGATGGGGGCCTCAGGCAAAACACAAGTTTCATTGATGTTTTCTATACTCCTTAGACATGTAGCCTATGGTTTTATAAATTCTTTTTAGTGTGCCTGAGTTTTAACTGTGACCCATCACATGAGGTTGGGTATGCAGGTTTCTACTTACAATATCATATCAGGACTGAAAACGTGGCAGAGTTTGTAGCGTTTTTTGTATTTTCAACTTTCAGATTAGGGGTGTTCATCCTGTATACTGCTCTTGATAGTATCTAATAATAGATGACAATAGGTCATATTGTTCTTTCCACATTGGTGTAATATTCATATTTTAAATTCTCCCTTGTTTGACATCATCTTGCCCAATCGCTAACCTTTAGTTGTGTATTCAGTTCAAAATCTTTCCCTATAAAAAGTCAGTTGTTGAATTGTTGTCGACTTGATGATTTTGTGACTATATATGAAACTTCTTAAAGTCTAAACCAGCTTAATTTTTTAAAGAGACAGTCTGTAGCACTAACCAGCAGCCCTCTTCTTAGAAAGCAGCCCTATCTAGGATCATGGTGTGGAGTGAATGTTTTATTTACATGCATAAAATTAAGTGCTTTTCTATTTATTTGTCCAGAGATAGCTGTTTCATTTTAGCAGAGAAATGTTTTGTTTTATAAAAAAAGGCACTTTCTGTAAATTTGCAGTTGTAAACACACATTTCATTGATGTTTTATA